GCTCAAGAGGTAGAGGAGCCAAATGGCTGGCTCACTGCTGCCAACTAGTGGTCAGAGGCTGAACTACAACATAAAAATGAATGGTTTGCATGAAGGTTGACATTTTAAACCTTAATTAAAAATCAGTACAGGGCTTTAGAATATTGATACAGTATCGGGAAATGAAATATCGCGATATTTCAGTGTATCGATATTTTCTTACACCCCTAATAAATAATAACTTGAACAGGCAGACAGAACAAAACTGAAAAGTAAGGGCTGTGTGAAAACYATAAATCAGATCAGTAGAAGACTGATGGTCACGTGAATTTTTAGGTTTTTACAGTGTTTTATGACAAGTTACAAAAACATCCTTTGAGGTTTGAATAAATCATTTTGAGTTAAATRTAACAAAGGTCTAAGGTCTAAAACTAATTATAAAATATATAAAAACACCTGTTCAGACACGTCCAGGTTGTGAATAATGGTACTGAAAGYATTAGAAGTGTTCCTGAATGTTTGTGTGTATAATTATTGTGTTTCTCAGTCTGATACAGGATGAAGACTTTGAAGCGTCTTTTAATGAGGCACCTTTAGTGTTTCCTGTCCCCCTTCACAAAGCACATTTCTGTTTTGTGTTGTTTTGTAGGGGAAGCTGACAGCCAGGGAACGGGTTGAGCTCCTGCTGGACCCMGAGTCCTTTGTGGAGACGGATATGTTTGTGGAGCATCGCTGCTCTGAYTTTGGCATGGAGCAGGACAGTAACAAGGTAAAAAAAACAAGACAGCAGAAAGGAGATTTTTTTATTTTATTTTGTTAAAATTGTGTGGTTTTTTTTCTTTCCCCTTGCAGTTTCCTGGTGACAGYGTTGTGACGGGCCGGGGCAGGATCAACGGCAGGCTGGTGTATGTTTTCAGCCAGGTAAATAACATTTATAGTAGCAGCTCTGCTGAACTTTGTAATATTTCTAATGAGCTCTGTTTGCTTTGTCAGGACTTCACAGTGTTTGGTGGCAGCTTGTCTGGAGCTCATGCTCAGAAGATCTGTAAGGTAAACCTGAACTCGTTATTTCTTTTATTCCTGTTGCTTGTCATTGATTATAAACAGTTCATTATTGATTATGTGTGTATTTGCATTTTTCATGTTCTCCCACTTAAATATGTGTTCAGATCATGGATCAGGCCATGACGGTTGGGGCTCCTGTCATTGGGCTGAACGACTCGGGAGGAGCTCGGATCCAGGAGGGAGTGGAGTCCCTTGCTGGATACGCAGATATATTCCTGGTACAAATGTCCCGATACCACTTTTTCACTTCCGATACGATACCGATATTACAACTTTGAGAATTGTCCGATACCGATATTGACCCGTTACCAAAACAGTACAAGTCACACACTTTTACCTATTTTGTAATGTAAAATCTTAGAAAAGTCTTGATCAAGTCAAACAGTGAAAAAGAGTATGTATGAGAAAAACTGACCCATTTATTTTTAACCAATGGATCATGGACATACATTTTAAAGTGAAGAAC